GAAGTTTCTGATATTCGTCGAATCTTTTTTTCAAGGTATTTCAATTATTCTAATTTCTCATTTCGTCGTCTATTTAATTAATAAATGTTAAGAATATTGTTATTAATCTCGGGAATCGATGGTTTCAGGGAGAATGCTAGAGATAACTTGCAACGATCGCCTGGGGAAAAAGGTTAGAGTGAAATGCAATCCAGATGATACCATTGGAGATCTCAAAAAATTAATTGCTGCACAAACTGGAACTCATTGGGAGAAAATTGTGCTGAAGAAGTGGTACACTATTTACAAAGATCACATCAAACTCCAGGATTGTATCCTTTTGACAATAACAATCTATTTATTTAATTTTTACTCATTTAATCTCACAATTAGTTCTCGTCTTCCAGAAAAATCTTAATTACAATTAAATCCTTAATTAAAATCCTACAGATGAAATTCACGACGGGATGAATCTGGAGTTGTACTATCAGTAGAATTTAAAAATAAATCGAATTTATATCTCCACATTTTGTTTATTTAATTAATATCGACTCTGTACTCACCACAGTTTTGTAAGAGATAATAAATCATGAATATATTTTTTTAATTTTAACGAATTTGTACATTTTTTATTTTAATTTCGTATAAATTCATATTCCAAACTTTTAACAAAGAACACATTAAATATTCTAAACAATGAAACAGCATTAATTAATTGATCAAATATCCACATCTAAATTGTAAAAAAAACCTCTTGAATAAATTAGTATTTGGTTGGGCAATTTTTAATCAACTCCAATCATCAACTAAAATAGAATAAAATAAAGAAAATTAATTATTAAACCCGAGAAACGATGAAGAACTATAATTCCACAAAAAACTGAACATAATTTCTCAAAAAATAAATTGATATTAATTCTTAGCGTCTCGAAATTGAATAAAAAATTCAAATCAAATGAAATAATTGTCACAAAGCCTTTTATCTATAACAATGATGATAAAAATGTTTTTTGAGTCATTATTCAACTAAATAAATCGTTGTAGTCCTCACTGTTTAATGCGGCCTCTTGAAATGGCCTTCTGATCGACTAATTGGACTCTCAGGTTCCACAGTGACTCGTCCCCGATTCCCCAGGAAGTCTCTTATGTGCTGGACTATCAAATCTATTGCCACTGAAACAAAATCCAAAATTATAAACTCCAGAGTCTCCATTAATAATTTATTCCTCAGAAAAACCAAATGGCAAATGGCATTAAATGGCTATTTCATTTTTTATCGACTTATTTCAATTTATCTCTTTTTATAACAATTATCACAGATTATAAACAAAAAAAAAGATCCAGCGATTTTTTTTTTCAATTGCGAAATATTTGTTTTTGAAGTTAAAATCATTAAATAGTGGAGATTTCAATTAAAAAAGTGATAATTAATATTTAACCGTTAAGTATTATATTGTTGATGTAATAATTGATGGGAGAAGTAGAATAAAAATTTGATTGCAGGTGAAATAGCCACTGGGATATTTTCCACTCGGAATGAAAAACAGATTGACTCGATTTTATTTTCTGCTCTCATCTTTATTATCAATAACTGTTCCCGCTCAGATTACAATGGCAGTTCCATAATAATTACCTTACACTTACGAGCATGCACTTAACCAACAATTATTAAATATTGAAGAACCAAAGATGTAATAATTTCTATGAAAAACCTTTCTGGATTCTGGATCGTATCAAAAGATTTTATTAAAAAATGGTAAGATCTAGAGAAAAAAAAATGGAATTTCTCCCACTCCTGGAAATATCAACGATAAATTCACTGAGAGAAAGATATCCATTCAGCTCCGGATTACCAATAATTGAACTTTAGAATGGAGAAGTAAAAATCCAATGGACAATTGGATAAAAAATATCTGGATGTCAATGAAAATGTATCAAAAGTACTCGGAGGGACTCGAATAATGGAAATAAAAATCGGATGCACTAGTTGTGAGTTATGATTTATAATATTTATGGATTAATTGTTATCAGTGGTTTATCATCTGCTGACGGTGTCTGAAGGTGTTGATGTGCGACGTAGCTGGATGCATGGATGCTGCCCAGCACTGGTATCAGCCTTTTTCAAATGCAAAATGTCCCAGATGTGATGAACTATTAGGTCTATCGCCACTGTAAACATACAATTACCAATTTTCGTATGTTCTCTTCTTTTCTCTTTCATCATCCTCGTCAACGCATTCAAGGTACAACCACCGGGCAGCACCCATACTTGCAATTGATGTTGTTATATTTCTTTTATTACAGAAGAAGTTTTGAGTAAATAAATAAAATCCCTGGGTGAAGATTAAATTATAGTGAATTGTTTTGATTTATCGAGGGGACACACTGATAAAAATTATTTTCCTGACTTTATTTACTCGAATTCATTCAATTGATTTAGTTTTTTATTGATTTGAGAAATAATAAATGAATGAATTAATGGATAAATTGAGGGGAGTAATTGAGATTTAATTAGTTATTTGCGAAATTTTCGTGATCACCGAGTGATTTTTTATTGATTTTTGAAGTGATGAGATAAAATCTAGTTTCTTTATTATGTAGTGATGAATTATTAATTATAATGGATTACCTGTGTTGTCTGCACCCCTGGGGATGATCACGTCAGCGAATTTCTTAGTTGGTAAGCAGAATTCTTCGAATGCTGGCTTAACGAAATTCATGTACTGATTTAACACGTAATCCAAGTCTCTTCCTCGTTCCTTGATGTCTCGGGGAACTGAAAATTATTAATAATTATTTTAACCCATTAATTGAATTTTATTTTCATAGAAAAAAGAGAGACAATATTTATGCCACTGAGTAATAATAAAAAATTTATCAAATTGATTAGAAAATTTGACATTCATTCGTGTGAAAATATTAATTATTGAATAATTAATATTTACCTCTTCTGGCAAGTCTAGTGTCGGAGTCAGTGTCGACGAATAATTTCATGTGAAATAAGTCCCGAATGTTTGGAAAATAAAAAACTAGAATTCCCTCGAAGAGGACCACGTCAGCCGGGTAAATTGTCGTTATTTGATTTTTTATTCTGAAACAGAAAAACATTAATTATCAATAACATCAGGGGATTTTACCAATGTTCCGGTTAATGACATGATGAATTCAGGAATGAGGAAGTGCATTCGATGAATGTTTTGAGAAAGATGGAAACATCGCAGTTTATACAATTATAAACAGGAACCAAAATTTTCAGTCTGTCGCTATAATTTCCCCACGTGAGACACATGAATGGGTATAAAAGTTTTCGCTTCGTTTAATTGTAATGCCTTACAGTGGAGTGAATGAATTTTGATTAGTCCCTCGGACGAAAAGCTAGTCATCCAAATAACGAAATCGTAAGTTCAATCAATTGATTTATCCCACAATTTTTCTCAAATCTATTCCAAAGCGTTTTTCTTAATTGAAAAATTTATTTTGTGATTGTTAATCGATTGGAGTCATTAAAAATATTAAAATCTGAGAATAAAAATTCATCACTGCAGGAGTCTGTAATAAATCTATAATAAATGAATGTTCGATCCTCAGGAAACGATCGGTGGAGATAAATTTGAGATCGAAAAATCCGATCCATTGGTAAAATGGATCGAAGAAATATTCAGTGGATCTCGCTGATGGGCCTGCTCTGTGTCTCGTGGTTTACCGCGACTGAGGGATGTCTGTGTTGTATAAAAGAATGTATTGGAGGAATTTGTGGTAAATCTAAAGGGTGTGGTCTCTCGTGCCATCGCCATGGGCTCGGAGCAGGAATTGGGGTAGGAATTGGAGCAGGAATTGGAGGTTTGGGTGGAGGATGCGGTGGAAATCTAGGAGTAGGTCTGGGAGCAGGCATTGGAGGAAGTATTGGACCTGGAGGATTTGGAATAGGTCTTGGAGGAGGACCTGGAGGATGTGGAGTAGGACTTGGAGGACCTGGAGATCTTGGAGGACT